ACAGGGTCGCTGTGAGTCGGTACCGACTTGATGGCACCTAACAACAACAACAGCAAGCCTAGGGCAGGAGTCTGGCACACTAGTGCTCCATTTTCTCTTGTGGTTATTATTAGATTACTTACTATCAGTGTTAATTACAGAAAATTTCAATTAGCCGTCATCTCTCTGTCATTGAACCCTTTGAGGCAAGAAAGTCAGGAACAAGACTCATTATATCCATTGTGATAAACTTGTTAAATGCTGTCAAGTCGTTTCCAACTCATAGAGACCCAGTGTAGGGTTGCTGAGCAGCGGCTGGTGGGTTTGAACCACCTACATTGTGGTTAGCAGTCCAGTGCTTATCAGCACCACACTAGGACACCATGTTAAACCTATCACTGGTAAAGTGCTGTTGCACAAGAAAATACCTACATCTAATGGAAGTGACTGTCAGCCATAAAGTTAAAAGGAATTAAATATGGTTCTAACCATATTTAATAAAATGAGACTTCTGATTCTTAAGTATCAGGGCTTCAAACAGTTTGCTTTTAGGATGTTGCATTGATTTCAAATTAAGTTCCAGGAAGGGCAGGGATCAACCAGTAGAGGAGACCTGAATTTTAAAAAGGGTCACTGTGATTAATTGGTGCACTAAAGCAGTTTCAAAAGTGGAATCCTTGGAAGAAAAGAAAAAGCTGAAAATGATAGGGCGGAAGGCCAAGTGAAAGTATTTCTCTTTTTCCTCTTACTGGATGGTGAGCTTTTTGAGGGAAGGGCCATCTCTTGTTAGTGTCTGTATAGGTGAGCTTTAGCATAGTACTTCATGAAGTACTTGTTAAGTTTGTACTGAAGTTAGTAATTGTTAAGTTTGTATTGAAGTTAGTATTTGTTGACTGGAAAATAGCATCTGATGTTATTCCCATGGTATGGCAACCTCCCTCCTCCCAATTTGGTTGCAAAAGACACTACTTTGAATTGTGTGTCTCAATGTAAAATGAACTATTGTATAACTTTTTAAGAGCAAACTTTCCTCCCTGAAAATGGCAAGGCCTTTTCTCTGAAAGTATAGACTTACTAGCCTGATATTGCTACCCTTGCTATTGATGTCTACAGAGGGGGGCACCTCCCAGAACCATATTTATAAACTGCTGGTGACATTTGGTTGAAATACATTCTTCTGTAATTAGCATTTAGTGGAATGTTTTTATACTATTGGAGGGGAAGGTTTCTATAAATGGGGAACTTATATAAATTTATTTCTATAAATTTCATTATTGAACCTGGTCAGAAATAGAGGTTTTATTGACTACTTTCTGTGTTCTTTTTGGCTTTAAAGAATAGACAGTTATTTACTCACAGTGGAGAAGGCTACAAGTTCGAATTTAGGGTTCCAGCTAGAAGGAAAGTCCTTCTGTATTGGCTTTGGAGGAAGACACTTGTCTCACGTTTCGTAGCCCCAGCTCTCCTTGGTTCTTTGATTGACAGCCTCCATGCGCCATCTGTCTTCCCGTTTGTGCTTCTTAGTCTCTGTGTCTGTCTGTGCAGCTCTTTGTAATTCAGAAGTAAATAGTCTTAGGACATATTCACACTGATGTAAGGAGCTCTGGTAGCCCAGTGGTTATGAGTTGGGCTGCTCAAGGTCAGCAGTTCAAAACTACTAGCTGTTTCTCGGGAGAAAGATGAGGCTTTGGGTTCTTGTCAAAATTTACA